TTTTGTGTAGTGATTTCAACATGTTTTTATTAGAATTTCTTATAATAAAAATAACATATATATATATGTATGTATGTATGTATATACGTATATTGCTTATCCTGTTCCCATTATTATTGAATAAGTAAGCATGAACAGAAGCTGTTCTAACAATGTTATTCATAAACTGTCAGTATGTGGGGAAAAAAACTCTGAGCTGAACATGTTTTGAACCTGTTGAAATCACTCCATTTATATATTTGTAAAATCCACAATTTCAAAATTACACAGATTGACATGAGTCTGAAATAAGTTATCTACACTTGTGCAAATCTATCATGCTCTTTTTTTTACTTTCTTGACCCTACCCAGAAATATTCAAGTACTTGTAAAATCTTACATTTTAACAAGCTTTGCCATACCTGAGAAAGGCGGTTTTGACTTTGGACAATTTTTTGTCCATTATGAATACTCAGTTTGATTACCTGTAAAAGTTTTACCTGAACATAAACTATAAAAAATTTGCTTTGCCATCAGGAGTTGTCTGTTTTTGCATATCCTTGCTATCAAATTGTAAAATTCTCCATGTTTGAGATGAGTTCATTTTTTTTTGTCTGAAACTTTGAGATGAATTGTTGTTAATATTCAATGAATTAAAAAAAACATACCTACCTTTATAGTTGTTTTTGTCACAAACGGCCGAAATATTGAGAATTAATATTATGAGAAAAATGGCTTGCCAAATATTAAGCAAGTGTTTTGGAACCAATCCTCTGCTATTGTGTACTTGTAAAATCTACTATCTCTGAGGTGAACTGATGTTTATATTAAAAAATTTAAGCTGACAATTAGGTAAACCAAACCTTGTCTTTTATAATCAATTCCCTCACTCCTACCAAAATCAGTCCATTTACATACTTGTAAAATCAACATATTTGAGGAATATAAATATCAGTTGTAATGAATTTGGGCCTTGGTATGGCCATCCAGACCTTGGGCAAGTCTTTTATTCATTAGTCTGTTTTTTAGTCCGTTCATACACTTGTAAAATCCACTACACAAAAAAAAAAAAAAATATGAATAAAAAAGTAAAACGATCTATTGTAAGTTTTCACCTTGAAGTGGCCATTGAAATTTTGGGCAAGTCTTTCATACTGTATGACCCACCACAGTCAGTCCATTTGTGTACTTGTAAAATCTATCTTCTGTAATAAATTTAAATTAAGAATTGTCCAACAAGATCTTGGGCTAGGGTGCCACCTTGTAGTGTACTGGTTAGCAAGCTGAGCTTGCAGATCATTTATAGTGAGTTTGATCCTCACTGGGTACCCCATATATATGGCCTTGTGCCAAAATTAAGCTAAAAAATAGTAATTAACAGTAACAAGACTTTGGGTAAGTCTTTCATGCCATATGCCCACTGTTGTCAGTCCATTTACGTGCTTGTAAAATCTACAATACCTATGTGGTATATAATTTGTACAGTTACATTAGCATATTCAATCTTGTACATCTATAATACAAAAACACACACACACACACATATACTTTTATGTATAGAAAAGCATACCAAATAATGAATAGCATACAAGAGATGTTAAAGCTTATCTGATAAGGATATTGGTCCTTTGCTAGCTGGTTACGGTTTAAGTCAAATTGGAAGCATTTTAGTATTTTTTCCCCTTTCTCTCCCAGAGTTTGTCAAATCTATTATAATCTTGAGAGATATAACTTTCTCTCATCTTATACCAATTGTTTTCAGCAGAACTACTCACTTGTATTAAATACTATATTTGTCATCCTATGACACATGTTTTGGGTATCTTACTGTGTAGTCAGGGCTGGTGCAAGGGTTTCATGGGCTCCCACCAAGTCTATGATATGAGACCCAAAGAAATCTATGATACAGGGCCTCCATTCCACTACATCTCAATCTTCCAAATACAAATTAGAGACCTGTCATAATAGATCATTCTGTCTTAAATAAACAATTGTTTTTGCGGCAATTTTTAACATCAATCTGACATTTTTCTTGTTAAAAAATTGGATAATTTTAACATGTTCAACATTATGGATATAAAAATAGTGTTTTTCAAGAATTTAGCACAAGCAAAACAAATTCACAGATTTGGACAAAAAAAATAGAACCTGGAATTACGTTAAAATTTGCATAAACTTTTCATCCTTTAATACTCTGTCATATTTAGTTTAATTTGTAACATATATAAATGTAAGTAGAAAAAAGCAAATGTTAATAAGATAGTGAGGGTCACAAAGCACTGCCTATAATCAGACTTGGGCCCACTCGATCAGAGTGGGGTGGGGAACACGGGGGTAGTATGCACCAGCCTTGCATGTAGTACTAGTTAATGAGTTGATCTAGCAGACCATTGCTATTGCATAGTGAGTTAGACTCCCAACCCCATGCCTCACTAGATGTCCCACACTTCTGGCTTTGTGGCAGACTAAGCTAAATGCAGTGAATATCTATAAGACACATTAAAAAAGTCATCTAAATATTAGAATCTATCCAACATGCTGGTAATATGGATAGAAGGCTAATCACATAAACCTCAAATTTGCACAGTAGATCGGGATAGGAGACTGTCAGTAGTAATCGTAAAAATATGTGTGTGGGACATGTGCTTTCTTTGGATGGCAAATACGGGATTTCATTTTAACATACATATTTCATGTATCTATATATTTAGAAATACTGGAAAAGTATGCCACATTTGATGTACTTCATCATATTGACTCTTTTTTTTTAGTGAGAGGACTTTAATAAACTTTAGCTCTAGGAATATCTCCCCACATTCACCCTCTCACTCTTTCTATCTCACTCTTAGAAAAGAGCTTGTATCTCTCTCTCTCTCTTCCCTCTCCTTCCATCCATCCATCTATCTATCTGTCTCTATCTCACTCTTAAAAAAAAGATTGTATATATATCTTTCTCTTCTATCTATTGCTCTCAGAAAATAGATTGTATCTCCTTCTCTCTCTCCTATCTATCTACATCAATCTTAGAAAAAAAGGGTGCATCTATCTCTCTCTGAAAAGAGATAGTATCTCTTTCTCCATCATACTTTTAGAAAAGAAGGTTATATCTATCTCTATCTATCTTTATACCACTTTTAGAAACAAGATAGTATCTCTTTCATTCCTCTCTCCTTTTTTCTCTCTATCATACTTTTAGAAAAGAGATCGTATCTCTCTATATATCTATATCTATCACTATCTATTTATCTATTTCTATCTTGCGCTTAGAAAAGAGATTGTATATCTCTCGCTTATCTCACTCACTCTTTCTCTCTCCCTCTCTCGCTACTCTTTCTCTCCACCCTCCCTCTCTTTATCTATCCCTCTTATAAAAAGAGATTTTATCTATCTATTTTTATCTTGCTCTTAGTAAAGAGATTCTCTCTCTCTTATTCATTCTCTCTGTCTCTCTATCTATTCCTATTTTGCTCTTAGAAAAAAGATTTTAGCTCTCTCTCTCTCTCTCTCTCTCTCTCTCTATTGGTCTCATACTATCTCTCTATCTCACAGAAAAAGAGTTAATTTTCTGATATGTGGGCTTAACACTATTGTGTTGCTAGATTATTTTAAAATTATCTGTGGTATTTGTTGGGAGACTTTCATCATACTAAACCCTATCTAAGTAAATATTACAAATTAACTCTCAATAACACACACACACACACACACACACACACACACACACACACACACACACACACACACACACACACATCCTAATTATCACTCATGTGAGTTGAAAGCTTGGGACAACACAATATTAATCTTGGCCAATTTATCCTCACAAAACAACCAGAGTTGCAAAAGGGTATTTGTACATTAGAAAAAAAAGATCTATAATAGGCACAAAATGTCTATTCTTTTTAACATGTTTAAACACACAAAGACGTACACATAAAAGTATCTCTCAAGCACCTTAACTCCATGAATGACACACAAACATACATATATACGCTTATTATTCGGTGTCAATTGTATCTTTTGGCAACTTAGTGATAGAAATCAGTTTTCCGTTCCTTTCAAAATGTTTAATGCTATATATTTGAATTTAGATTGGTTTACTTTTTTTCAAAATTTGCTTTGACTTTTAACAACTTGGGATGGCCAATGCGATATCTTGAGAGAAATTTCTTTGTTCCTAGAGCAGTTGATAAGATATGACATCATGTAAAAATATTTTGCTCCCAAGTGGTTGTTTAAAAAAAAAAAAAGAAAAAAAGTCATCAAACTATATCTTACAATGTTTTATTTTTTTTAAATGAAAATTCTTTTTTGTTTTTTTTTTTTAATATTGTTTCTTGATTTTCATGGTGTTATCGTTGTTTTTTAATTATTTTTAAATGACAAAACTTATGTAATCTATTTTGGAAAAAAGAAAAAAATATGATTTTGACAAAAAAGAAATGAAATTTTAATGTCCCTTTGAATTTTTCAATTCTGCCTCATATATTCAATTCTTTCTTTCATCTGCTTGTAAAAAAAAAAATCAAAGAAAATAAAATTTGTTTTTCTTTTCTCTACCTCTTTCTCTGCTAAAATTGTTGATTTAAAAAAATTCAATATGAATGAATAAAATTTTGCTTTTTTGTAAAAAAGTTTTTGTGTTCTTAATAATTTTCATTTGATTCAATTTTGACAGCTTATCAACCCTTTGCAGGTTATTTAAAACCAGAAAATATTTTTAGATTGTAAGAATTTTTTTTCAGATAATAATAGTTTAGTAATATATGTCTTACTAATTAACCCATATCTGGGAGAAGAAGAGGTGGATTCATATCTTTCCCAAGGTATGAATAAGTAAATAATTGAATATAATGAACCTAATAGGGATTGGAAGTCATCTCTCCAATGAACAATTACAAGCCATTATCCATTACACCAAGCTTACAGCACATGTTATTTCCAAGCAGTCACTCATCTAGGTACTGACCAGACTTGACATTGCTTAACTTCAGTGATCATATGGGAACCAATGTTTCAACATGATGCAGCTATAAGCCTCAAGTAACCAGTTATGGTAGAAAAATTAATCAAAAATGAAGTTTTTTTTTCCAACGATAACAGTTTTGGTCTGCCAAATGCATAGTAATCTAAAATTATGTTAGTTGAACAATGTCATTCTTACATTTTCTCAAAAGATTATCCAAGTCTGTCACTAGCTGCTTTCCTGCAGTGAATTTGTGCCTGGTGTTTAACATGAGTAAATCTTTTTGGCAATCTTAAACATTCATGCCCACAAAAAAAAATGGAGTGTCAAAAGTGTTGCGTTAATTCCCCTTGGCAAAATGTTAGTTTGGTAGATCTACACAGGTGGCACTGCTAAATTATGTGCAATGGAATAGTTATAAGATTACTATTGGCCAATTATTGAGCTAGTCTCATATATATATATATATGTATGTGTGTGTGTGTGTGTGTGTGTGTGTGTGTATATATATATATATATATATATATATAGATAGATAGATAGATAGATAGATAGATAGATCGATAGATACATAGGCCACCAAGAAAGAAACCATTTTGGAGTGAAGATGACCAGAATGAAAAAAACAGGGGGGTAATCCAGCAGAATTTTAACAGTGGTAGCAGAGCATTGGTACATCATGGCTTTAAAATTGACTGCATCAACAATAGTATAAAAAAATAATATTGATGAAAAATAATTTTTTTATTCATAGCTGACAGTATTTCCTTTGTTCTGCATTTAGTTTCACATTAGTTGATGTTGTGGTTGGTGGGAAATTTTAAATTAAATTTTTCTGTAAGTTTGGCTTCCCCATCTTGTATTAAGCACTATTTAATTATAGAAATCTTTATGTTCAATTATTTTTTAATTCATTTTTTTCAAAAATCTTGGTAAAAATATTTTTTTTTATACGTGTTACCCCAGACTTACTTAATTTCATGTAATTTTAAGAAATTAATTTTTCATCTGAAAATGTTTTTTATTAGTTAAAAACAAGACTTCTTGGAGAATGTAAATCATCAATTTTTTTTCAAACTGCTACTCATTTCCCAAAGATCTGCTCCAAATTGTAAAATAAAAAATGCAATTATGCTATGACATTATTTAATTAGAAAAGTTTTTAATTGCTTTTATAAATAAGATTTATTAAGGACATTATTGTTATAAGAAAATGTTTTTTTTCAATATTCAGGGTATTCTGAAAGTCTTGTCACCCCTAGATACTATAATTTTTTTATTTCAGATGGCTAACACGAGCACTTACAGTTTGGAAAAGAAGTGGGGGGGTGACAATATTTTCGGATCACCCTGTATAATGAATTTTTACAAAAATTGATTTTATTTCTTAAAAATTTTAATTATTTTATAAATAAAGGTTTCAGTTTAAAATTCCAATCAGCTGAAGAAAGCTAGAACATACAACCATTGAAACATCATGAACATAACAATAAAGATGAGGACAACAGTTCAAACAATATAAATAATTACAATACTTCATCTCAGAAATATAGATATATAATAATTTATAATACATAAATCTTTTAAAATTCTGCATTACTTTCATCCAGTTAGGTGATATTGTTATTAATTGAAAACTATATTTACTAATCAAAAATTGAAAAGCTTAATAAAAATCATTTTGTGCTAAGATTTTTAGAATAATTTTGAATTTTTTATGTATATAAAATATTATATAAGATGCCCATTTTTGAAAGAATGGTCAACCATACACAACATTATCAGAAAATAACAGTGATGACTATATTAAATTCAAAGTCAACATTCCTAAAATTAGATTACATTTTTAAGATTACTGAGTACTTAAAATTATATAAAAAAGCGATCATGCGAAATTATGTTTTACAGATTAAGTCTCCATCGAACAAAAATCATTATGACATGACCTGTCATCGTCTCATCAATTACATAAAGCATGGTAATATTACACAAACATGGTAATATTATATAAAACATGGTAATCTCTATCCATAAAAGGCAGGATATGTGTGTGTGTGTGTAACGAATGTACAGCCACAATTTTCGACGGGTTTGCACCAAAATTTACATGCACATGCTCCAAGTTATTGGGAAGGCCAAGACCAACTTTGCATTCCCCAACTCCCATCGATAGTGGAAATAATCAATTTTTTGATGCTTCTACAACAGTTTTCATGTAGTTTGCGGCCATTTTCTACTGGCCAGAGTGAGAGCCTATAGCTGGCTGCCACGAATAGGCAGGAAGATTCTACTGGCCAGCGTGAGAGCCAACAGCTGACTGACATGAATGTTAACTAGCATGCTAGCATGCAAAAAAATCGATAGCTGCATTTGTCACAAGTGGGAAAAATTTAATTCTGCATGGCACTTTACTCCAATTGGCTCATTCGCTTGCTTAAACTCAACGTTGATTCTGAGTCCGCAGAACTGGGTTGGGTGTGAAAAAGTATTTGTTGTTAACATTCTATTTTCATTTGGTTTTTCCAGTTACAAGTCCTTTTTTAAAGCTGACCTTTTTGTGTTCATTTTGTTTATTTTTTTTTTTGTAACAGATTTAATGTTTAGTATAGAGCTTAGAAAAAATTTGCAGTGTGAGATAGGCATGTAGCAACATCAGCACAGCAAAGGGCACTCCTTTAAAGGCAAGGAAGGACAAAAATATTTTAAGTCAAGTGATAGCAATTGCTGTATGAGTCGTATGATTTTTGAATCAAGCACGGGCAACACCGGGCCATGCTGCTAGTATTAGTTAAAAACAGCTACTATTTTGTTTTAAAAATACATTTCTGTGTTATTTAAACTTAAAGTAAATAATATTTTTTCAAATTAGATTAAATATACTTTAAATCAGTTACTGTTCCTCAGATAAAGTTTCAGAAAGGTATATTTTATTTTTGGAAGATTTTTTAATAAAGAGAATTACATTGCAACAAAAGATGACTGCAAAAGGGCGCTAATCAGATATTTTAGTAAAAAAGTCGATTCCAATCAATATAATTTCTGCTTGAAATACACCAGAGTATTTTGTTTAGTGAAAATAGTAAATTTAATCATTTAACTTTCAATTAAAGGTAAAATGAAAGCTCCAAGAAAGCTTTTTCATTTATAAAATTCATTTTAAATCTTAGGTATTGAAAATTAGTGGAAGTACCTACAAAAAAGGAATAAGAAGAATGCTTCATATAAGAAATTTAAATTTAATTAAATCTACTATTACAATAAGTGGATTGATTGATTGATTGGTTTGATTTTTTATGACTTATCAACCTTTTATAGGTTACTAGCAGTAGCGTTGCCCAGGGATGTAACAGTAAGAGATAGATCAAGTATTGACCATCATAAAGACTGAAAAATAAAATTAACAAAGATTATTGTTTAAGGTTGACGGAGACGCATGTCTTAATTAGTTTTTTTTTTTTTTTTACGAATTGGTCAAAGCCAAACTCAAACAAAAACATTGTTTTCAATCGTTATGAGTCTACCGATTGAATAGAATTTTATAATAAACAATTCTCTAATAAATGGAATTTTTAAAGCATTCTGAATGTAAAAATAAAGAAAAAAGTGTGCAAGACAATAAGAAACACTACCTGCCAAAAAAAAGTGAAGTTTTGTTGAAATCTGTTGAAAAATGTAGGAAATTCGATCCCATATATAAATGAACACACACACACACAACCAACCAACCTGAGTTTTATAATAAGTATAACTCGATATGAGTAGTCCCCCTTTCATTAATGCCTCTTAATCATGTTTTCAAATTGATTTCGTGCAAAAACAATTGTGTTTTTCCAATTTTTGATGCTGTCAGAACCACCGCAAGGTAATTTTACGTAGTCCTGTGAAGTTTTGTTGAAATCGGTTGAAAAATGTAGGAAATCCGATCCAATATATAAACGAACACACACACATACACAACCTGGGTTTTATAATAAGTATGATTTAAAGTTGAAACATATTTCAGGATTTTAAGAATAATTTTTTTTTTTTTGAAAGAGTGAATATTGTATCAACAATTTTTTGGAGATAATAATGAGTTTCATTTAAAAGTCCTATTTAACCCATAGTGGGGATAAGAAAAGATGAATTCATACCATCCGCAAAGGTATTTGCACATACATGGATGTAATGAACCTGACTGGAATTCAAACTCAGTTCTCTGATTTCTCATTCCAACCCATTCTCCATTCGATCACCCAAACATTCAATCTTATAGCACCTGGTATTCACTAATGGTCTCCCATCTAGGTGCTGACCAAGTTCTACATTGCTTAACTTCAGTGATTGGACAAGAAATAGTGTTTCAATGTGATACGACTGAAAGCACAATTACGAGTGTAATATGCAAGAAAAATGAAATGAGACAAAAACTAACAAAAATATGAATAATAATAAGAATATTTTATATCAGAAATTCAAATTTTATTAAAACTACTACTACTACTACTAGTACTACTACTACAAGCATAATAGATAGTGTCTGAGAACAAGGAAATGGTAAGCTAAGTTCAGTTTTCTGTTGAGTTTGTTGCGGACTGGTGATTGTGTTTAAATTGATCAGAAGGAATTTCGAGGCTGTGTTCTACAACATTTGTCCACAACAATTATTTAGAACAAATACTTGGAACAAATCATGCAAATAAAGTTGAAAACAAGACAAAAGTTGAATGCATAACAACATCAATTTATATAATTTATATATTCAAAGTTTATACAACTTTATCTGCTTGAGAAAAAATGGATTGTTAGTTACTGATACTTGTTATGTAGTGAGAAATATCACTTTGAAAGTATAGTAAGTGAAGTTTGAGAAAATGTTCTAGAGAGAGGTAGAGTGTGCGCGAAGGTTGCTGAGTCAGAGAATATTTTTACGCGGCAAAATCAGAGTTTTTGACTGGCGTGGAGTTGATGGGCATCTCTCTAGGTGTGGAGGTCTAACTGTCTAAAGCTAGTAATTGTCTTTAACATCTGGTCAGCAATGACTAAGACGGGAGTCGGTGAAGGTTACATCTTGAA